TCTCATTTTACGCACCTCGGAAGGATGGAAGGCTGAGTCTACCCTGAGCCGGTGAGATTTGAACAGCTGAACTGCAGAACTGCAGTCAGCTGAAGTAGCCTGCAGTGCTGCATTTAACCACTGTGCCACCTCAGCACAAGCACACATGTGGTGGAGCTGGGCTGGGGCGACGGCTGCCATGCCCGCAGAGAGGTCTCTGCGTGCCACCGGTTCACCATCACGGCTCTAAGCCAACTTTCCTCAACCAATCACTGGAAATTTGGGGGTCATCAATCCCAGTATAATGAGTGTTGGGTGACGCCACTGTAAGACATAATGGGGGAGGGGGGGTTGTGTAGTGTTACTACGAACCTATCCACTGTGGTTGGTCAACCGAGGTTTATGGCTTAGCGTGAGATGTGAACCTGGCCGATTGTAGCTTAGTCAGTGGACTGTGGCGAATCAAATCATGGCTTAGCATGTAGTATGAACGCAGACGTCATTAATGCGATAATGTAGCCATTGGCCACCTCTTAATAACCAGATAACAGCCAAAAAGGGCTTTTTTTTGTATATTCATGACAAGAAGAAGGATACTTAAACTACTGGATGAGCTGTGTAGACTTTTAACACGTTTTTGAGGCTTTAGTAAGAGTTTCTTCGATTGAACGAAAACTGGCTAAGTCTGACTATGTGCCATCCAAATTGTAGATGACTCTTAGTGACCACATAGGTGGACTCTTCCAGAATGATTTGTCCCTGAGGTGGCTTTTTTAGAACTTCTAGCAGTGAACACACTTGAATTGAGTCTTTCTGATAGATCAGGGGTGTCATACTCAAGAGGTCCGTGGAGCCACCCTGGAAATAGCAAAGGACCGGCCTGCGGTGACTCTGCCAGGGAAAACTGTTTTTGCTGGCAGAGGGTTGCAAGAGGCCGTCGCAGCCAAAAACTGAGCTCGTGAGAGCTGCGCATGGCCCTCCCGAGCTCCGTTTTTACTGGCAGAGAATTGCAGGAGGCCGTCACAGCCGAAAACGGAACTCGGGAGCCGATTTTCGCTGGCAGAGTGCTCAGTCCAACACAGGCACCCCCGGCACGAGTGACATTGAGCTAGCCAAACCCCTTGGCCACACCCACCCACCCTGAGGTCAAACACAACCCTGATGCAGCCCTCAATGATATCGGGTTTGACACCCCTGTGATAGACCGTGGGCAATGAATAAGCACAACTCCACCATTTCGAGACGTTGAAGCTTAACTCTACGCCTGCCCTGCTTTTCTCCCTATCGTAAACTCCTCAACTTGCCCAAAGTGAGTCTGGAAAAAGTTTCTTGAATTTCCTGATCTTCCAGGGATGTTCTCCTTTCTTAAGATCTCTTCC